GGCCATCGCTATCAGGTGGAGGCCATCGCTATTAGGTGGAGGCCATCGCTAGCCATTAACTTTTGGCCACCTGACCCCTTCTACATGTGTCCCAGCTCGCGAGGCCTCACTTTGCAGGTGATCCGCTCGCAGTTCTCCGTGACCACCTGATTTCGAGAAGCAGACTGGCTTGTGTGCAGTCAGCTTCCGGAAGTGAGACGGGCTTTTGGAGGTTCTCTTTGATGCCAAGACACTCCTCCACAGCCCACCTCCACCTCTGCAGGCTCAACAGCCTTGCGAGATGGTCTGATTCGAGACTTTCGCGGACAATCGCGGACACCCTCAACTGCCAATTGGGTGCGCATCTGGATTTATATCAAGCTAAGAGGGTCCACATCAACAAGCAAACTCTAGAATTATTAGACTGTCTGACTGTGACTTGGTCGTGGAACATCAGATTTTCTCAAATGGGACACTTCATTCCAAGACACAAGACTCATTAAGCTGCAAAACAGGATCTCAGATCTGCCTTTGGTGTTTCCTGCTTTGCGCTCTTCAGTAGCAAAGATTCAGGCTTACATCCTTGGAAATCCAACAGCCAAAACATGAAAAAGCATTGCGTACCCTTGTGGAAGTTGGGACAAAAAAGGTCCACTTTGTCCACTCTCATCAAATATGAAGACAGACTGCCATAGAGCTTCACAACTGCCTATGAGCTGATGTGCCGGCCGTGACCATTGTTTGCTTCGAGCTCTTTAAGGCAGAGTCTTGCTTGCACGTGTTGGTACGTCTATCTAGAATGGGAAATGTGCACATGTCCGCCACGTCTGTGTGTGTGACCTAATTTTATGCGTGTTCTTTTCTGTCTCTCCTTCGTCTCTGTTTTATTCTCAGTTTCCCTGCTTTATCTTGCTTCTGCTTCCCTTGTTTCTTTTCTTTTCTCCTGCATGCTTCCCTGGAGGACGAAAAGCATGTGGCAAGGCCTATCCTGCATGCAGGATTGCATGCAAATGTCGGGTACTGCAAGCATGTCCAATAGTGAAAAAGTGACACTGTAGATGTTGCAACAGCCAAGAAGCGGAGACGCTCTTTGGTCTCGTCCAAGAGCTCAATCTCCCATCGGCCAGAGTCTGCAACAAAGTCCTGCCACAACAAAAAACAGCGTAGTATGATTGTAAAAAATAGAGCCAAGTAGAATGGGTCTCCCTGTGGCCCTGTGGATCCAGATCTGAATGCAGCTCACAGATGAAAAACACACTGCAAACGAGGAAAACAGAGTGAGAAGTGTTACAAAGGTCCACCCGGGAAATGCACTTCCTTCTTGGCCCTCTTCACTTCTAACAGTAGCATGTATAACTGCCCTCACAACGTTTGGGACTAGGCCTTGATCCCGACTGGGCAGTAGCGAGGGTCCTTTACAATAGCAGCTTTGCCGTTGAGCTCTGCTCTTGTCTTGAGGCCACTGATCTCAATCTGCTGCCCTACTGCCAGCGCAGCTTCTTCTGAGAGAGCTGCAACATAGCCACCTCCAGCACCTGACGCAGGGTGCATTGTGTCGAGCGTTTCGCTACAGCGACACTCTCAGAATTGTTAGGAGTATGAGAAAGAGTTCAGAAAAGTGTTCTTGAAGGTCAGCCAGGAGTTCTTTCATGATCATTGTTCTTTATTTGCAGCGTGTTCTTCTTTTTCTCAATTTGGTCAGTTCTTCAGTCTGAACTCGTGATCATTGTCAGTGTTCCTTCATGATCGTTGATAATTATAATTGTTCATGATCATTGTTCCAAAGGAAAATACATATATACAACGAGCGAAGCACGCCCTGTTCGATCTGCAGACAGACCAAAGTTACTCTGAATGAATACAGTGCATGTTCTACAAAATTGATCGAAACAATGAAAAAAGTAGAAAATGCTTATGGCAAATGCGATGCTCTCCCCAGTGGCCCTGCGGATATGTAGAAAGCGCTGTAAATACCACACGGAATTTGCAAAAAGTGCTCGAAATGACCACACCGTCTACGCGCTGCAGGCCAACCACATATAGCCCAAAAAGGCACATTGCCCGGTGAAACGTCATAGTGGCATAGTGAGCTGATGGTGAGGTTAAAGCTGTGGTCGAGTTGTGGTGTGGTATCTTCATCCAAAACCTATATATAGTACAAACGAACTCCTGCGGGTTACTAAGACCATGTCTACTTGCAAATCCTCTCCACGAATATGTGGCATTGCCGTCTTCAACTACACTACTGCCTGAAAGCAAAAGTATCTGCGTACAGTGTGAGTGGTTCTCTTCTTCTAGACTTTGACATGCAATGAACCTAGCGACCGTGCCTTTCGCTGGAGATATCTCTGGAAGGGCCTCATCTTCTGACTCCTGAGAAGGACTCGTAACGCCCAACAGGGCCCAACAGGGCCCAATATGCAAATATTCGAAGAACTGGAGGGGGTTCTTGCTGAAAGCCAGTGACTAGTTCATGATGCGGAAGCTTCTAATCACGCCTGCCGCCTACTGTCATCTCATGTTGGCCAATTCCAGAGTCTCCTCCTCCTTCAGTTTGGGTGGTGCAAAATCCCAGTTTTGTATTTCTCCCGCGTACATCGGTCGAAGCTCTCCAAGGATTCCATCCAGTTGCCTTAGGGTCCCACCCTTCAGGTCACCGCTGAATGAATAATGCAACTTAACATAACTTAACAACAGGTGTTGCTGAAGGTCCCTCTGGCAACCACTAAAGCACCTTTTTTTAACAGTTGTCTGCATGGCATACAACCAACTTGACCATAGGTTGAATTCGCGGACACCTATGACACCATCAGCTTGACATAGGTCATCATGCTTGCGGGCACAGCGTGTTTGGTCCTATGCTGAAACAAGGTCATAGGCGGAAAAACTGTTGGATTCCAGATGAAACTGGATCCGTTCAGCAGCTTGCTCTTGTGGACCTTGACAGCTGGCCCAAAAAGAGAGCAGGCTTTAGTTGTCCATAGTCCATTCAAACAACAAATTACACCAGCATTGACCCCAAGCAGCAGCCGCAGCTAAATGTTTCTATTTGCGTAATTGGCTTGCAGTTCCCAACCCCTGTGTGCCAAAAGCATACCGGTCAAGCCGCATTGTCATTCCCAATTCAAGAATTATATAATGTTCTGAACATCCAAGAAGAAAAGCCATGCGAGACAAAGCAGAATCATCAAGGGAGACAGAGGAAGACAAAGCAGAATCATCTCAGCCCAGCATCCAGAAGAGCCATGGGAGACAAAGGATACAAAAAGGAGACAAAAGCCGAAATCATCTTGGCCCAGGATCGTTTTATGCAAGACTTGAGAACCCCTCACAGCAAAGCTGTTTGGGAAAGAAATGTGTCCTCTGTCCTCAAACACTTACATGGTGATGGCCACCATCAAAATGCCAGGAGACGCCCGCTTCCAGGCGTTGATGCCGCCCGCCATGCGGACAATTAAGCTCCGGTCAGCACCCAGCTCCACCAAATACCTGCAACAAGAACTCATTCTTGAAGGATTTGGTTTGACAGACCCGCAGGCAGCAGGCATCTCAAACTAAACAAAATGGAACCTCTCCCATCCAGAACTCAAAGTCTGCTTTGGGATGAGACTCGAGTTTCAACACTGCCAGCTAAGCCGGCTATCAGGTCTATCATTGATTCACCACCTGACCCATCGAGAACAGCTATCGGCGATCGCAAACGAAAGAAAGGACGCCATTGGCGACCAGTGACTGGGCAATGTGGCGACATCTTGAGACATGGCCACGGTTCACATTGCCCTTGATGCAGGCATCCTGACACGGTGGGTGAACAAGAAGAAGAAAGATGGTTGATGTCCACACCAACTACTTGTTGAGCCCCAAGGGGGTGGCCAAAATAGTCAGGTTCTCTCTTGCAAGACCTGCTAAACTTTAGCAAGGTACACTCAGGCAAATCAAGGTCTTGCCGGAGTTCACCAAGTCAATCAGGTGCTGTACCAAGCTTTTCTCAACCTTAAACAATGGAGCACAAGCGAATCAGCAACCCGCATGCTCTAGATAGCTTCCAGGCCGGTTGGGTCGGTGCTTCGGAAGATTGGTCTTGTTCACTCAGGGGGTCAGGAACTGTGTTAGCCTTGGCGATCGTTCAGATTTCGCAATTGGTTCAGGCCAAAGGGCTCAACAAACCAACAGCTTCGCATTGGGAGACTGGTTCTGATTAGCTTGCTATGTTAATTGTCCTGCCAAAGGAGCAGACGAGCCTTTCATGATCAGCGCATTCGCAGGCAAGTGGAATGAGGTCTGCAAACGGCTTGTCCTGCAGGCAAACAACCCGCCCGACACAAGCCAGAGCTATAACAAAAACCTTCTTCTTTGAGTCGCTGACGCTCTTTAACATTTATCATTTAACCGTGGTCCAAGTGCCCGGAATGAGAAAGGTGACCATGAGGATCAATGAGGGTCATCATGAGGGAACATGGGTATTGAAAGCGCTTCGCATCTGGAGCGTCTCTTCTACACACCTGTTGAACAGAAGCCAAATGAAACGTCTCAGTTGTCAAATGAGGGCTGGAAAGCGGACGTCTCAGTTGGCACCAGTGGACCCTCCTCTGGCCTCCCGCTCCCGTCGAGATTCGATCCACTCCCGCCATCCCGCAGTCTTGTAGTCATCTTCATCTCTGCTGTCCACAAAGACGGCCTCTCAAGACCAAACTGTGCTAATCATTGAACACTCAGAAACGTGCTTCAAAAATTGGGGAGCAACAGCCTGACGGACTTGGCAAAATGGGGCAGGAGTCAGTTCAAGAACCGACGGACTCGGAATCGCTGCCTGAACCAAAAGGAAGGTTGCTGTGATTTAGAGCAATGAGGCTAGGTTCTTTATACATGATCAATTGCAACGAGAGTTGGGCAATGAAACCTCGCCGGTGGAAGTTGACAAAAGGGTTCAAAGGACCTCTCCTGAAGCTCTTACTCCTCTGCAGCTACACACATCCCTCCAATGTCCCAGGTCTGCGAACTGCCTCAAGATACAAAGCAAAACACATCTAGACTGGCGCCTTATCATTCTTCATGAGAAGGTACGCTTCTTGGACACTGACATACGCAAAGTCAACGCCACTATCTGGCACCTAGAGCTCTGGCGCAGAAAAGTACAACGGGGGGTCTTCAGTTCAGTGCCTCTACTCTCCCTCCAAAAGTAAAACAAACTGCTGATTCTCATCTGCAAGTGATGATATGGCACTGTATTGTTTCAGCTCGCCCGATTATGCGTGGACGAGAAGTCCATAATCGAAAGTATAAATGTTAAAAAGTAACAGAGGTAATGGACTGCAGGACTGCAAGTAAAACCTTGGAAGTGTTAGGAGCCAAGGCACTCCATAGCCCATGGCAACAAATGGCAGGCCAGGGCGACCACGGCCCAGCAAAAGCAAGAATTGTCTGTTGATCTTCCTCGAAACTTGTCTTGTTGCCCCTCTCATGTTGTTCAGACTGCAGCACCACGCCTTCGTGGCACAAAGACTGAGGTGTACTCTCTGTTGTAAAGATAGTCAGTAGCAACAGCAAGCACACTGCTTCCGGATCACTTACAATGTTTGTATAGCTTCTGTGATGCAGTCAGCCACACATTCAACATTGTTCAAACCGTAGACAAGTAACAAGAAGGTACTAGGGGCTCCTGGCCTTACTACTAGGAGCAAGGACGCTACTAGGGGCTCCTGGCATCGCTACTAGGAGCGAGGACACTATATAGTAGATTCTAGCTCTGCTTGAGCAGGGCAATGAACATTGCACTGATTCCTGTGAGTTGTATCTGTTTTCCGTCAGAGTACAGCACAGCTGCGACTGGAATCAACGGGTCGTCGCCCACAATAACTAAAGCTTGCTGTCTCTGAAGCTGCCCAAACATCTCATGGGAAATCATAGCAAGTTTGGCATCAATATATACAGTAACAATACTGTATAAGAGTGCATATTGATGTGCATATTCTTTCTGCTGGCCTGGCAAACAACGGTCCCTTTGAATTGCTGTTGATCTGTGCCTCTTTACTAACTGTTCACATGGATGATGATTGCCCTAGCTTCTGAGTTCTCAAGCATTGTTGTAAGCTGATATCCTCATCTTACCTAGCTTGCAGGATTGTTGCCAATGAATCCTAGATGCATGCCACCAAGGACGTAGACCTTCCCGTCCAGTTGGCACGCCTCCAGAATCAATGCCAAGGATCAGTGTAGGGTGTTTGTTTTGCTCACTCACAAGGCAGTCTTTGTGCAAGAGCTGGAGGACACTGAGATGTAAAGTCATGACACCAAGAAAGCTGCAGTGGAACACGGTGGAAAATCTGTGGAAAGTTGGCCCTAAATCACAACAAGCTGCCATGTCAGAACCTTTGCGCAGCCCTTCTTGTTTCCTAGCCGTCCCTAGAGCTTTCGAATTTGGCCCGAGACGCAGTCGCACCATGGCGGCGAGTAGTCATGGGCGGAAGCTGCTGCCACGTGTCCGTGAGGCAGTCGTAAAGCTCTGCCGACTTGAAGAAGCTCAGCAGGGCGCTTGCTAAACAATCGAAACCTATGCAAAAACCTGACTCTAAACTTTGGGTGCATAAGTAGGAAGGCCTTTATGTGGCAATGTATGGTTTAACAGGAGCAGCGTTCATTCAGTTCCATTCCAAGTAAATGTTGCCTGCCCAAAAGCGGAGGGTCAGCCTGCACTTGTTGGCCAATGTCTACACCTGTCTTCCCTGGCTACTGTTCTCATCAGCCAAAGGACTCGTCACGTGCACAAAGCTGAGGATGTCTTCGGCAGCCGCCTTCATGAGACCATCGCTAGTAGGGTGGAGGCCATCGCTTCTAGATTGGAGGCCATCGCTTCTAGGTTGGAGGCCATTGCTATTAGGTTCCTTTTGCTATTCCCCAAAACAAACGCTCATACAACAAAGGGCCTTCATTAATGACTCTGTACGTCACACTGGGTACGGTTGACGTTGATAACTGGGTGATGCAAATGGCCCCAAAAAGGGAACAACAACAACAACAACCACAAACTACCTGAGGATCTTCCAAGACTCTCTGGAGTCGAGGAAATCCCCTTCGATGGCCTGCAAAGAGCACACGCCCAAGGCCCACATCACAGCTTGCTGCATCCAACCTCGCCATCTCCGGTGATGGCACTCCGACTCCAACCGCCGACATTTCGGCTAGGGCGACAGCCCGATATTTAAAGAGAGAGCTCGCCCAATTCTTTTCTGTGACGACATAGAATCTGGAATTGCAAAAGTGGGACCTCTTGGAAAGCCTTGTGCGGTGTACAAGCAGCAAAAGCTTATGATATTAAATTCTTCAGATATTGCAAAGGCTGGCTCATGCTACACCATCAGAAGCTCTGAAGTTTGAAGGACCAGGCGCGGTGTCCTGGCTGTCATTTCAATTTTCAGGTTGTACGGCTCCAGCGGATGCAACTTGTCATGAAAGTCATGGGACTGTTTTCACCAAGTGGCCGAGATGCCTTCTGTTGCGCCAATGACTTTGCCACAACGCGACCTTGCACCGATAAGAAGCACCTCAGACTGGTAAGCTTTCTCCACACTAAGTAGAGGGTCAAATGTTCAAGACCGTAAGCTAGCATGACAACCTGTTCTTTACTTATAATAAAGCCTCTCCGAAGTGCATTCAGGAGTCCAGTTCTCCATCCAAACTTGGCGCATGAAGCCTCCAAAGTGGAAGAGGCAGCTGGGAGCAGAAGAGACATAAGAGGAGACCAGCAGAATGAGGCCCAAATCCTCCTGCGGAGAGCAGGACCAAGAGATGACTTTGGGGCAGATCATGGCACAATCCGACATGCATGCGAGACCAAAGAAATTGATCCACCCTCCACGCATTGTCAAAGACCCAACAAGTAAAACCATTGGCCTGGCGGCACTCAAAAGTAACGAAGTGTGGAAATCAGTGGAGCACAAGAAGGGTTTGCAATTAATAATAATAGATGAAATGCTACAAAAAACAAAATGGACGACGATTGACTTGCATCATTCTAGAGTCTTCAAGGAGAAGCTTCTAAGAAGCGGCTTCCCCATTGTAGAATATTCTCTCTCCACCCGGACAAGTTCCCACTTGAAGGTCTGCAAGGAAGTGAAAGGCAACATTTACCGGCGAAAATGGTATCACTGTCACCTGCCAAGGAATCCTCATCGCGCACCCTTGCCGAGGCGTATCCAGCAGGAACACTTCAAGTATCCACATCAAACCCATGAGGCGTCCCATCTCTCAGCTAGGTGGACTGATTTCCCATCCTGCAAACATACAAAAACAATCATGAAACCTTGAACTGCTTACTCTGACTTGAGACATAACTTTCTGCATCTCCATTCGTCCAAACTCCTTCAAAAGCTGCTTGAGAGCTGGCATTACTAGACGCAGCTTACGCCGGCGAAGAACCAAAAGCTGAAGGAGCAGTTGCCGATCCTGGAACTGAAAGGACTGAATTATACATCAAATGTCCCAGAAGTTGCTCGAAACCAGCCATCTGCTTAAAGCTTGAAGCACCCATCACTGACAGCTTGAACCCTTTTCTATCTTCCAGGAGCTGATTTTGATCAGACTTTTCACCAGGTAGCCACCAGACTGGAAGGGTTCTAAAGATAGACTTATCAAGACTTATTTTTATTGAGATTTGCAACTGTCCATTCAAGGATAAGTTGTGATTAATGTACTTGTACCCACCTCAATGATACTCTGTGAAGCCTGGCTCAACTGCAAGACTCTCAAGTCAGTAAAGAACAGAAACCAGAGTCCTCCATCCGATGTGCACTCAAAAGGTTCATGCGCCTGGGAAACGGAAGGTGACCCATGAATCTGAACTCACCGCGGAACAGTTGACGGCTGCTTCTTTCTACGGCTGCTTCGGGAGCAGCTCTGCTTGAAGCGTTTGTTTTGTTTTGTTTTGCTCCTCCCTAGCAAGCTTCCAGACTTATGAAGGCAATTACCCTGTTGAACACAAGACACCGAGCAATCTGTTTCTACAGACTCACAAGAAAGGTGTCCCAGCTTGGCTTTACTGACGAACTCGAGCAGCGCAGCGCTGACAAGCCACGAGCGCATTGATCATACACCAAAAACTGAGCCCCTTGCTTCAACCGTTTCGGAGAGTCCCCTGCACAATGGATTCAGAAATCAGAACAAACTTGAAGCCTCATAAAGCCCTGTGCTGCCAAGGTCAAACAATTCTGTATCTCACATTGGTGACAAAGAAGTGTCAGGTTTTCTTGGTGTATTCCTTGTTGCCTGGAAGATAAAGCCACTACGAAAAGAACGTCCACCAAATCTGCCGAACTTCCATACGCTTTCCTTCACCAAAGCTCAAACTTTCCACCTGCCACTGCGACGCCCAGTCGACCAGCATCTTCAGCTGCAACCACTTCACCACGCTTCAGATTCAGTGCTTGGCCTTGCTCGCTTACCTGGATTAAGGATTGGTTGCAAAAACAGCAGCAGCAACAACAACAAGTGTCGTTGTACCCACGATATCTGCAGCTCCTTTTTTCCTGCTTCTCTATATAGTCCATTTCCCCCCACACTTCAAATCTTGCGCTCTGAGTGGCAAGGCCATGGATAAAAACCGGGCTGCCAACCTGGGTGACCATCTGAGTCTTGCTGAAAGTCTTTCTATGTCTCTACACTCCACATAATACCAGGTCCGGTCTTGCAAATCTTCAAAACCTTGTACAGTACAAAGGAGCACCTTCACTGACAATTCAGGAAGGCCGAAATTTCTTCCACGTTACTGACAAGTCGGCTGCCATGGGTTCTCGCCACAAGGCGACCCTGCTGTGAAGATTGGAGTCGCATGAAATCAAATGAAGTCCCCGAGTAAAAGACAAATAGAGCAGGTTTAATGTGCTACATGGGGCTGTCAACCCTGTTAGTCTGCCACATGGATATGTTAACCTGGCATGTGTGGCTTCTTGCAAGACCTTGAAGCGCTTTACTTAGCAATAGATGATGAGACTTCTCAAGCACTTCCGGCAAACTCACTCAGGTCCCACATCCACTAGAATGTTGCTTGAGCCCTTGTGTGCTTGGATGCCATCGAAAAATGCATCTTGGCAAATCACAGATTCGCTTCTATGTGTGTACGTTGCGGACGGCCATACAGTCAGCTTCTGGGAAGAGGATCACGGTGCTCATGCCCCTAAACAACAAGTTCACTTCTAGAAAAACATTGCTAGGCCAAGGCGGCCAAGGGTTTGATGCTTCGGCCTTTTTTCCTGTTCGGCATTTGATGGGCAACCAAGCCAAAGCGATCCCCGCCTTAGCGCCTTGGACGCCGTCCAAATCCCCGAGCCTTGATCGAGCAAAAGTCTCACAAATAAACGTTCAATGCTGGTCTGGTCAATTTTTTTTCGCACTTCTCTGAATGCTTCTTAAATAGAACGGTCTTCTTCTTGAGCTTAGCAAATGAGAAAAGTTGATGAGGAAAGAAGCAGGAAGGGGAGATTTGACAGATTCCACAAATCCAAGAACTGCATTGCTCTTTCCAACTCTGCACCCGCGAAGAATGTACCTAGGTGCAAGCACAATGTTGTGCATACTACATACTCTTCTCTATGCTTCGTGGGCCAGGTCACACTCTTGGCTTGGGTGGAGCTCGAGGCCGTTGTGGCTTCCAGCTTGGATGTGACCATCTCGATGAGATCTCAGCTGAACGGCCCGAGAATATGAACTTGCAAGACGGGTAGTCCTGTCTTGGCAATTCCTACGTTGATGCTCCTCCTTAAAGTTCCTTTCAGTTGCATCCAAACTCTGGGTCACCGGGCTTCGCATGGACGGCTGGCCCTTCGGGTTTCTCTTAGCCAAGAGCTTTCCAGTCATAGCCTTTCGTGGCATTTGGGCTCTGAAACTCATGGATTGGGAGAGCGACCAAATGCTTCCTTGCCTCACCTAACCAGGCATTCAATACCCGTTCTGTGATTCAAGGCTTCAGAAGTTTCTTTTGATCTGACATTGCTAAGCTTGCGGCGCGCTCCTTAGCTGTCCTTGGCAATGCAGCAGGAACACCAGTTGTCTAAAGGTGTTCTGATGACTTGGATCCAAACAAGGTGAACCAACCATTGAGAGCTCATTGATGCATTGCACATTTGAGACTTTGCGATCAAGGGACTGCTTTTTCTTGCGGTTGCGCTCCCGCTTGTCCTGCTCAGACTTTGGACACCCCACCAAAAGACACTCTACTTCCTTCGCATTCATCATTAGCATGCTGTTTTGCCGCAGCTCGACATTCTTCAATTGAGCGACGTGCCTCCTCCCGTTGTTTTTCAGCAGCTGCTTTGGCTGCCTGAGCCTCTTCGTATGCCTTCAGTTCCCTGCAAGCACAAGCTTGAGCTGCGGTTCCAATTGTAATCTAGGCTTGACAATGAACAAAAAGAAAATACAATGCAGTGCTCAGTTCAGTCCATGACACCTGCACACAACTTTCAGAAATATACTTCATCACCTCACGACTTGTTAGGCCTTTGATAACGGCTTGGTACCTGGCAGGGCAGCGGTCTTCTGGTTGCTGTGAACATGAAACACTCTTCCTTCACTCAAATGGCCCATTGTGATGCATGATGAAATGGCCTTTTGCTTTGTTCTATAGCGAAGCCCATAGTCATGGAACATAACGAGTTTTCATGAATCACCACATGACCAGGCGGAGCCTGGGTTGGTTCTGTATCTAATAAACACAACCCTTCTGCAAAGTCGGGCTTGGACGCATGTATTAGCTCTAGAATTACCACAGTTATCCATATAGCAGCCAACATCAGAAGGACCCTCAACTCTGGCCAAGCTCCAGTCTGAGGCCTAAAATGCTTTCATGGTATCACTGAGCATTCCAACTATATACGTGGTCACGGTTAATCGGTTGCATGGTAGTTTCATAGGGGCTAGAGAAAAAGTACTTGTTTCACCACAGCGAAACGATGATTCTGGCGAAAAATGTACTTGTATAGTATGCACTTGACAAACACAGAACCACATCTCCCAACCCAAAAACTCCTTCACAAAGTGCAGCCACAACTAACTCAATATCCCCCGCACAAGCCTGTTCTCGAAGCCAATTACTTCAAGCCACCTATCCACCCCACCCATCCACTCCCATCCACCCAAGCAAGTTACACTATATAATTAAGGAAGCATCAACATCTTCTTTGCAATGATAATGAACATCAATACGCCACATACGCACACACACACACTCGAGATATTGCGTACTGAACTGATCGCTCCAATCCAAGCGCTGAAGAAGCCTAATTAAGTGAAAAAATTGCACGCACGCACGCACACACACACACACCCAGGCATTGCACCCGAAGCAAGCCAACCAAACAAGCACCAGCAATTCCCAAAGCAAGTTACTTCCAGGAAGAATTTAATGAACACCACCCCACCCCGAAGAAATTCCACAAAGCATAAGCATGAGCATCCAAAACAACGCAACAACAGTCCGAAAAATGGCTAGAAAAGCACCAGGCAACCTATCAAACAGCCAGCAACTACTTCGGTCAGTGATACCAGGTTCCAATCTTTCACAGAAGTCCTACAAGCGGAGGCGCTTTCTGCATCGCGGCCAGCTCGTTTTGGTTAACACTAGAGTTGTTGATATCAGAATCACTGTACGAATCGGGCCTTTGCTTTTGCTGCCACCTTTGCTTTTGGCTTCCAGCTTCCTCACCAGGCCAGTACAAAAGAACTACTGCAACCAAACACCGAAACACCTTTCTGCCAATGTCAGGCACCTTCGACGGTGGATCCTATTTCCATCACCGTCGGAATCTCACAGCACAAAGATCATGCTCAGCCCCTTGGTGCTAACTGCAGAAGGAAAAGCTCCTCAAAATCATTGAATCCAGGTTGAGTCTAAATGTGTGCGGTTTTGGTATTTTGCTGACCCCCTAATAGCCTTGAAGGGAGTATCCAAAAGGAGTTTGATTGGAAGCCAAGCAAAGACTTGCTTCCTGAGTTCGTAAATACTCCCCATGGTTCAACCTTCTTGCAGAGCTAGCCACACTACGCTAATAGTGCTGCCACCTATGTGCTTTCCCTTCGGCCCTTCACACACTGACACCTGGTTCTGTTGTCGGCTGGGAAGCAGCTTCAATGCGCCGCCTCAGAAAAACATGGACTGGCTAAGCCTAGAAGGAAACCACAGACCTGTGGCTTTTGACAGAAAATCTGTGATATGGTCCCTCATGAGTGGCCACAATACTATTCTGCAACTAGTGCCTTCCGCTGGCCAACATGAATGTAAGGGTAGAAACCAGTGGTGCAAGACAAACTTTTCTGTGGTAGTATCCAAAAAGCCTCCTCTATGTCCCTCCTTTTCCTCTCATCAGTCTCAAAACGAACCTCTTCCGCCGTTTTTTTGCAGCTTCTGGTGCGGCCTGACGATTCATCCAGACATGAATCACAACTGACAGGGTACATCTGGACACCAGCTTTGGAACTGAGAAAATAAATCTCATCTGCTCTGTTCTTTTTGAAGCTTGCGCCAGAGATTCACTGCAGTAGAGATTCACTGCAGTAGCTGACGGGCCTCAGCCTTCGCAACGGGCTTGCCTCAGCCAAATAATTGAATCCCCACGCACTCATGACTCGTTACCGTTATTGTGTCTAGAGTCTAGGAACTTTGTCTTGACAACTTCGGGTGTCTCTGCAGCAACCAGCGCTTTCTTCTTGCCATGAATATCTTCTCCAGAGTGGACCGGAGTTTATCCACTCGCCCAGCCATCTCTTGCCATCGGTGTAAAACTTGCTTTGGTTCCAGCTTGCCACCGTCAAATTATCCATCGAAAACCAAGCACACTGTCCCTACAACCCTGGGACCATACAAACGAAACAATCTTTGGCATCAATGAAAGCCACCTGAAGTGTGTGCAAGACGAATGCTGGCTGGAAGCAAGGCTTAGCCGGAGCAATGGACCTACACAGATCCAGACAAAAGGTAGAGGTAGTGGTGCAATCACCCACGAACCTCTTTATTGTCCTGATTCCTCCTGAAGGGTGGCTTGCGGTTACAAAGAAATGATGCCACAGAAGCCACAGAAGGATGTACTGCGCCGAAGAAAAAGGTCTTCCCTTGCCAAAGGGGTCGAAAGTCGAATCGAAGTTACATCAATTGAGGATCAGTTGCTCTGGGACAACTGCCCTCCACGAGAAAGAAAGATTGTGTATGTTGTTTCTTAGTGCGATGAATCAGCTTACGAGTGATGCCAGATGTTGCATGATTTTGTGACTGCTTCTATGCTACTGGCCACTTGGGTACAAACAACCAACACCGACGTGTTTGAACTGCGTACGTAGGCGCATGCTGCACATGCAGCCAGAGTATGATGCATCATGAAGAGTCAGGACTCAAGGCAGTGCTCGCTCTCTTGACCTCGACCGGCCCCAAGCGAAAGTATTCTGTGACTCTCAGACTGCCCAGGGTCTCCAACCACGAGACCTAGCAGCTTGCTTAGCAGGCACAGCAGCACTTGCCCAACACTTTTTGCCACATAAAGTGATGTGAGTCCCACCCCAAAGGAGGCCTAGAAACCAACGGGGCAGCCAAGCTCTCGTGGGCCGTGTGCGAAGCTGCAATGAGTTCCACAACTACAGCTGCCTGAGTACATCAGGATGTATTCTGTTCATGGGAACATTCAAACAAAAGGTAAAGAATAAGTTTTTTGCTTTATTTACACCTTGATCGAAATAGATTCGAACTCTCTCAAAAGCACTCACAAAGCTCGTACGAGCATTCTGAGGAAAGAGTCTTGGCCAAGTTTAACTGTCTGCTTTGCCCCAATTTCAATGGAAGCCTTCCAAAAAGTTGGCGCAAAGCTTGGTCTTGATGGGTCCAAAGAACCAACCACCTTTGCCAAAGCCATTCCTCAGCGACACAAAAGTGCCTCACATCTTCTGAACCTACACTTCAGACCAATTATGTGACCTGATGAGCACTCGCTGAAGAACTCGTCGGTGCTTGTGAGAAGCTCATGCGTGCCCTTGGGAATGAATTATATGGCCAAATCCGCTCACACCGAAGGTGCTGAGGCGTTACACTGTCAGTAGCGCACTCATTGCTATATTATAGCTTTAGCTAGGGTGAAACATGAGGTGTGTCTGGGAGAGGAGTGGGTGAAAGAAAACATTGAAAAATGGTTTTCTCATATCATGTATGTCATGTCTGACTAGCTGTCTCATTATCGTATCAGTTGCATCACCAGGTCCTTGAAAAGCAAACAAGTGACTCCTCTCAACAATCTATGTCTCTAAAGACCTTTCATGATTGCGTCATACTGTTGATGGACAAAATCCTGCACCATTTTGTGCACAGTTTTCTTGCTGCCCTCGTTCTCCCTCGTTAACATTGGGGCCACCGCAGTGAGAAAAATAAAACAAGTTGAAGGTCCAAAATCCTGCACCACCTCCTCAGAGGGGTTGCGCCAACATTGAACGAGGGGGGCAGGGGTTGCTTTGCGACCCTTCCAGGGTAAAGTGGTGAGGTGGTGCAGGATTTCGTCCATCAACAGTAGGCGTCGGCTGGTTGCAATTGTACAGTTCTTTAATGGTGACATATAGGTCAGCTGGCTGCAGCTGTAAACTGTTTTGTACAAAATGCCTGCAAAGGAATATAATTTGGACACCTGAAAAAGATGCACAACTTAACTTCAAGGGGGTCGAAACATATATCAAACAATGCTTGCAACTGTAAGTGGGATTGGCATGATGTTCAGATTCTAGTTGAACTTATTCGGGAGAAGAGGTCTCTATAATCACACTACTTTTGGACCCTTTGACAAGTTGTTTCGTTATGTCTTACTTGCAATTTGCAAGCGTTGTTGGATCTATCTTTCCGACCTCCTTGAAATTGTACATGTTCAAGGGAGTAAAGCATAGAGTGATTATGCTCAATAAGCTGTACAATGCTTGATCGAGACAACCTTGGAGATGAACGCAGCATGAAGTGGATAAATGTTGTTACGCTGGGGATTCACCATGCCCTTTTTTGGAAGCAAGGACAGGCGGTTAAAATCTAGACTCTTAACTTATTTGCAAACTTGCAAGCATCGTTGGATATATTTTTCGACCCCCTTGAAATTGTACATTTTGCAGGGGGTCCAAATTACATCCAACAATGCCTGCAAAATAATACAATTTGGAACTCCTGAAACATGTACATCTACATAGAAGAATAGGCAAAGTCTTGCAAATGTCTGAAAGGAAAGCCTTGATGATCATGGACTGAACAGCGTGTCCACACTGCCAGGATATGCCAGGTGTCTTCCCTTTGCCTTTGCTCTTACCTTTACTTCGGTCACCTTGCAAAACAATCCAGCACGCTAAATGGTTGTTCAGATTTGCACAAATGAGGGTAGTGGATACATAAACTCAACATGGGCCTTTGCCTTTGCTTTCTCCTTTCGGCTCCTCGTGTTGATAGTTGCATTCAGCCTGACCAAAGCACAGCTCCACGGCAAAGGCACTGGCTGTCTGCCGCTGAGGAACTCCTTTGTTGCAGCTGCCTTTTGCAAAGTAGACACCTTGGAACACACAAAACATCATGCTCAAATCGGATGGAAATGCAGGCATGCCGTGTCTTTTGCAAGTACATTCTGTACCTCTCTAGCACCTGTTCTATCTAATTGTGCGGCAAAAACCTTGAATATCCTTTTGTCGCCAAAGCAACAAGGCTTCATTCTCTTCTCAGCGTCCTTCCCCTGCCCAAGCTTTTCTGAAACGTGAATTGGAGACTTCAACCACCAACATGAAACCAATGCTATTGCCATTGCATGTCTGAACCAAGCAATACGAAAAAGATACTAAACACACAACTTGTAGTTTTCTGTTCAGTCCTATCTTGTTGCAGTCATTGCACCGTGCTTCGTTTCAGTCTGCAACTCGTGATTCATTGAACTGGTTCGCCCATCTGTACCAGCAACTTTTCTGTCGTGTCCAGGTCTTCCAGCTTTTCGTTGTTTGCATTTTTTAGGACATGACATGGGGGGATCCAGGTGCCAGGACGCAGCGGGATCAGGCTTAATGATTTGTTCCTAGAATTTCTAGGGAAGCTAGATACTGTCAGGTGTTGCATTCTGTCACGCAGTGCTGTTGCATGCGGAAAGTTGCTGCCGTTAGGTGTGAGGGCATCAGGGCATGGCGGCTGTGGAAGCACCGCGTGTGGTTCGCTCTTGTGCCAAGAAATTCTGGAGGCACCAAATTGCACCTACAACAGCTTCATCAACAGCTTCATCATCTCTGCTGCAAGTTGGCTGTTGAAAGGAAAGTCTTTTTGCGTTTGCTACTTTAGTGTTTTGTTTGAGCAGCTCAGCCTGGCTTCACTGAACTCGCCTTGAAAGCAGCACAGCTGTTTCAATACTAGCCAAAGGATAGCGGCACAGCCTCCGTTTGGGCCTTACTCTGATCGCTCACCTGGCATGCACACGCGAACATGGAATCCCCGAACAAATGGATTGAAGCCCAGTCGGCTAAAGTGCTCCAAACAACAGCGAACTGCTTCTGCCAATCCTTTACAGTGTATAGATGTGTCTAGTATATTAGTTTGTACAACTGGATATTTCTGTTGTACTTGTATGATTGTCGCCCAACCCTCCGAAAGTGCCCTTCAGGATGTTGCTGCATGCCATCTCTAACATGTACTGTAATTGTACAATCCTTGCACTCTCACTGTCGATCAACCCATGACTTTCGGTTGCTTCCAAGTGAACGAGTCTCGAATCCTGTGCCCTTCAGGATTTCCTGAATATCATCTCCAACATGTACTGTATTGTACTATCATGTACTATCCTTGCACCCTCACTGTCGATCAAGCCATGATTTTTTGTTGCTTCCAAATGAACGAATCTCCAATCCTACGCTGATCCAGGCATCTCAAGCTCATGAGTACAGAGCTGCGAACAACAACTGCTCACAAACAACGCAGGTGACACCTTTCAAGCGTCGGTTCCGGGCATCAAATGAGTTAATTGTTCGGATCCGGCAGTGAGGCACCTTCGCAGCGTCACCTTTCTTGGTCTCTGGGTCCTCGCCAGTCTCTTTCGATAGTCAAAGTGCCGCAGTTATTGTGCTTATCTGTGCCCAAAGTCCCTACTTCGTTGTGCAATGTTGTGCATACATCTACGTTCTCTGCAATGTCTCCAAAGGACGATGACTGGTGCCCCATGTTGAAATCCTTTTGGGGGATGCCATGGTGTGCCTAGTGATTTAGTGGTCCCTGCAGATGCACGTGCGCCAATGGATCGTGCAAACGGTCGAGTCAGCAGTAGAACAGTCACATCAGCATAGGCAGTTCTCCTTGAACCTCTCTCCCTTTCGACCTTTTCCATTTGGAACCTCTCTTTCCCCCTTCAGGGCAGGTCAAAAAGAGCCAAATTCAAATCCTAGAGGTGGACTTTCGGGAGACAACCCACAACTATGCCATACAATGCCTAGTGTCATTATCCAAATAAAAAAGAAGCTTCAGTAGTCATCCTTGAATGATACTGGAGTGTCTTGTACTACGCAAGACACGACGTGCATCAATGCTACTAAAAGACATGGCTGCCTTGCAGTCATTTCTTACAACCATTTCTTGCAGCTTGATCTGCCCCCACATTAGCTGTGCACCTGTGAGTCTTCGTGCCTGTCGTGCCTTTGTCCACCTGAAGCGCAAGCAACGCGCATGGTTCTGGCTTCCCCGGATGATGTCGTACAAAAAGCACTGACAGACTGACATTACAAAACGGGGAAGCATAGCCTGAAAGATATATATATATTATATATATATGTATATTATAGGCTTTAAAAAGGTGCAGGCCAGGCGCCTAGATGTAGCTCGTGAGCACCATGAGCAAAGGTGCAATCTGCTCCCTTGGGGCAACTTCCTGCCAATCAGCTCTCAGTAAGAGATTTTAGAAACTCTGACTCTGAGCACAGAATAGGTTGTCAAGCCTCGAAAGGGTCACATACCACAGACGAAATGGTCTCTGTCACGGCCCAAAAAATAATAGGGAGCGAACAAAAACAATTGAAATCTGTGAATGGTTGAAATCAATGTCTCTTTCGCCACGCCGCCTTCCACGTAGTAGCCGCAGATCTTCGTCTTGAAACCAACTTTGGGCCGTTCTTCTTTCCAGTTCCCATTTTGGGTCTGCATGTTTCCACTGGTGGCATCCGTGGACCAATCCCAGTGATTGGGCGTCCATTCGGACCAGCCAGACCAACTGGTGCTGCTCTGGCCTGCAATCAGGTCTACATACAAGTAGCGTATTGCTTTCACGTCTGGCTCCCAAGGCTCGAAAGCATTCGAAGGCATTTCGTCCGTCCCCCGAAACGCCAATCTTTGGGATGCGTTTTCCAGGTGGAAAAAGATGACCAAACTTTGGCGCCTCCATCAGGGACGGCTGTTGAGGCCGAAGAGCCTCCTTTGACGTCCAAATGTCGAGTCCACGCGTCTGACACACTTCTCTCCACATGCCGCATGCCGCTTTTTCCCCCTCTGAATTCCAAAACATGTATTACCTACTACAGGATTTGCTAGAACAGCTTGCACCCAAACAAGGCATGTCACACAGGAACGGGGCTCATGTTTCGGTTGTTCACGCTTCAGCACACCAAATGGAAGACTAGACGTTTCGGACACACGTAGTATTAGTTGTGTGATCCATGGTGCCCAAGGCAACGAATGGCGCTCTCCTGTCACAACAAAGGGCATTTGGCCACAGCCATAGCCAGCACAGGAACCGCAGCCGTAGCAAGAGCCGCAGCTGCCATTGCAGCATCCGTAGCTGAAACACAGGGAGGAAACATGTCAAGGGATGTGGGGATGATACCTGGGGAAAAACACGATGCCTTCTCAAAGTGCGACGCAAGCCTAATCATGCTTGGCTTGGCTGGGAAGGGAATGGGTGTTCAATCTCATCTGCCCTGTCAATTCAAACGCCCCTTGCAGGCCCCTGTCTTGTGCTTTTAAGCGGGCCTGGCAGGAAAGCCGTTCACCATCCCACAGCCCATGCAGCCGCACATCATGCCAGCCATTGGCATTTCCACCTGCGTCATGAAGCAAGGTGCCATGGCGGCCATTGGTGCACTTGGCGCCGTGCCACCTGTGAATCACAAGCAGCGCTGTCGGATCATGAGCACACATGGAGGTCCTACTCCGGTTCATTGCCTCACAATGTTTCTGATGAAAGGGTTTCAGTTCCTGAGAATGCTCACCAGTTGAAAGACTGGATACAGTACATAACAAGTGGTACCTATATAGAAGGTTTTGTGGTGTCTCAGCCTGGCATCATCTGCTGATCTGCGCACGCCATGGCTGACCAGACTAAAGCGTCAGCGAAGCTCGAGTCCAATATGCCCGCAAGGGTGAACAGTTCTTTTATATTCAGGCCATTTGATCGGCCAGCCTACACATAGTACTGGTAAGACTGCAGAGTCGTCACTTGGTGTCCATGAGATATCAACGTGCTGATTACGAACTAACATTGCCCACAACACCCTGTCTGCAAAACCCTAGAACTCTTCACTGGGCCATGGCTTTCAAACCAAGGCACCTGCACCTAGACCAGTCAGTTCCAGGCGCCGCTCCTGCAGAGTGAGCGGATTGGACAAAAGGAGACCATTCATCCTCTGCCCTTTCCAGCTCATCTTAGAACCGATCTGCCACACAAAGGTATTAAAGCAAAAAACATGTAACGAAGTTGCAAGCCTGTCCAAAACCTGACTTATTTGTCCCTACCAACAGCTGTCAGCCCTTCGATCAACACGCTACAGTAGCACCGACAAGTGAAGATAGTCTGCAGCAATTCAGGCATTTACGCGTGCATTTCTCTCACAAAACAGCCATCTGAGAGTTCTCAAAGCATAAGATCCGTGCGTAGTCCGCATCCACCTGGTCTGCTCCCTGATGGTCAAGCAGTGGTCTCCCAACAAAAAGGCCAAACAACAAAACCAAAACGACAAACGTGTGGAACTGCGGATTGTCGCTGGCGTAACAAGATTAGAACAAAGCATACATACAACTTCCTCTGCAAAGGTTCACGACGGAACCAAACTATTCCAAGGTGTCCTTAAGAACGACACCACAGCAAACACCAAAACCCGCTCTGCTGTTGCAAAGCACATGCGCTCATGCAAGCGTGTCCACATGTCCTTTCGTTTGAGTTTGCAAGAAAATTGTCCAGAACAAAGCACTCATCGTCAAAGCCTAAATAGAGCGGCTTCACCCGTCCTTTGAGCCCCCTGGTTACTGTAGGCAGTTCTGGCATACCGGAACGCAAACAAGAGGTTCCTGATGCTTGCAGGCGCCTGTCACGCCTTTCCCTGCTGGAAACAATTTGTTCCTTTCTACACTTGGCAAAAGAAGATGGTGCAACTCTCATGCATTGGTTATTGCTCCACCTTCCATGTAAAAATGAATTCTCAAACACCGTCCCATTCTTCGCTGGGCCTCTGAGAGCACACGCTGCAACAAAGCAGGCTCACCAAGTCCTTGTCGCTCCTGTGCACGGCTCGAAAGCAACTGTTGTACGGTTCCACGTGGCTACCTTGATGAGGTGAGCGCCAAGGAGAAAATCTGAACTATGTTGCATCTAGCAGAGGCAAACCAATACACCAAACAGAAACAAGTACGTACGCCGTAGCTGCCTTGCAAAAGAATGATGTTCTGTCTTCAAACCCATGGTGTCGTCAGAGTACCAACGGAGGCTTTGTCCTCATGCCGCTGGAGTCGCTTGAAGCGAGCATGTGTCTTGTGGCGTTCGTAAAAACGCTGCTGACGCTCTCGCTGCACATACCTTTGGCACCACGGGGAGTTCAGCGCAAAAGAACCACAATTCATCCATACATGGCATGCGGTCATTTAAACAATTCTGGGTTTCCATGTTGCTTCCATCATTTGGGTGAAACATGCCCGATTCCCGTTCACTGAGGCTACTGGAACACTTCGTCAAACAACAACTTTTGCGGATTCCTGTCACAATCTTTTGGTTGGTGGACATGAAAATTACTTCCCACTGCACTTCTCAGAATCAAAAGTGTTTGCGAAGGTTTAGTATCAATCAAATCCAAAAATGTGAAATCATTTATAAGCATGTGCCCATAACACTTGGCACCTGTTTCCTGTAAACAATTGCAAAACAACATGGCGAGTGCGCTTGGGATTTGCAGTCAACCTGTCCGTCCAGTGTTCATACCACAGTGTTTTGTTCTGTTCATCCCTGGTTCTTTGCATTCCAAAAACCCGAACCAAAGCACTGTATCATTAATGTTTTTTTTAGAGGTTTAAGCATTTCATTCACAAGTATCAAAGTTATCAAAACCGAAAATGCAAGCTGATAGTTTTACCCTTGTTTGTTCCCGTTGTTGAAGCGGCACCGACTCCATTTGACAAATATGTCCAACGCACATCATCAACGTGTTGGCAAACAAATTCCAGTTTATAAATCCGCTCTATTCTCAGGCAGGCAGCGTGTTGTATGGTACTGCCTTTCGACGCGAGGTTTTCTTCATGGCAAAATGTGTGTCTGCCACCTAAATGACTCTTACCTCCACACATGCCAAAGGTGCAAACCTATCTCAATGTCTTCCAATGTTTGCAACAGTTTGGCAATTGAATTGCCCATCTGACTGTTGTTCAACCTCATTTGTGCTGAATAATGCATGTTCATGGTGCAACAAAACAAACCACATGAATCCAAATCACGTTTCGCGCCCAGTCATTTGCTGCAAGCCCGAAACAAGTGGTGAAGAAGAAACATGTGGCTGAACTTTCTGGCATCTTGTCTTGCTGGCACAACCTTCCGTTGTGGAATTGGATAAAACCAAGTGAATTGTTGTTGTTTTCAACATGCAAGCCCGCCTGCATCGAGTAAAATAAACCGATGTTGTGAAGAAAATTCGAAGAAAAATCATATATTCCAACTGGAGGACATACGGACTACTGCAATCAGAGTAGATTAAGGTTGGATATCAAATGGCGCAGTTACCCCCAAACAGATTTGTGCCCATTCCTCTCTTTGGGGGTTCCTAGGACCATTTGGCAACCCAACGATCACTTGCTTGGATGTTTGATCTCTGCGCACTGGACGCGACAAAGTTTTTGCCGTGGAAACATCTTTGCCATGGATACACACATTAAGACAAAACTCAGGCCTCGTCGAGTCTTGCCACAATGCACATTGGTTGCATGATGAACCTTGAATAAACGCACCAAAATATCCCGGCAAGGGACCCCAAGTGTGTCTGAATGTTCAAGGTCCAGAGGTGCCTTCCAGAGATCTGCACCCACCCATCCTATCAACCCCCGAGCTACCAAACGCAAGTCTCAGCCAACAGGTTTCTTTTTCCCCTCCCTCTTTTCAACTCTTCTGCAGCTCAGCGTGGGCGGGTGGAAAATCCGCAGCAGCTGAACAAGCTTGGGAACAACATGGCCAAGTGGTGCCACACCACCTCTTTTTGCTTGCGGTGGGGGCAGCCCCTACCGCTCCCCCAATTGAGCAGCGTGTGTGTGGGGGGTCTTCCTTTATGGGACGAGAATGTTCTCTTTTGACTGGAGGGTTTGTTCTCTGCCTGTCTTTTCCTTGAAGCCTTCGGCGGATCGATTCCCTCCTTTTGTTGGCGAAAATGCTGGCAGCGGCTTGGACAGACGGATTGTCTGTTTGGTCACATGAAAGTTTGACACGCAAACTCACGAAAAACAGAATCTTTCTCCCAAACTCTCAGCGTGAAAGCCTGTCTTTTGAGTCAAGCGTGTGCACGACCCGAACCGAAAAGAAATAAATGAAAGGTCAATGCTCGTTTGGTGTCTCATTTATGAATTCACAAGAAACTCCT